CCCCAAAACCCCAAAACCCCAAAACCCCGAGTATAGGGGAGTAAATTGGAATTGTTGGTAAAAAAAATTAGGGTTAAGTTGTTGAGAGAATTGAATTTAGGGGAGAATGTGAAAGAAAGTTGTATGAATCTGAAATTTGGAAGAAGTCTTTAAAATGTTATTCAAGACTCTTCCTTTTCTTTTTCACCTTCTATCTTACACTAGGTAGAAATAGACCCGGTAGAACTCTTCTCGTTACAAAGCCGTTACAATTATTAAAAATAATAAACTATACTTCTGGATGACTTGTCAAAATTAATCACCAAACCTATAAAATATTGTTCTCTAATAATTCCCACTCTGAAGTCTTTCCTCCTCTCACCACACTAATTATACCATTCATATATTTTTACTAGAAAAGACTCAAATATTCAATCAGCCAAAATTATTAAAATTTGTTAATCACCGCTTCTAGTGAAAGTCAAGAAGGCAATTTTAATAATTTACTCCATTAATATCCTCTATTCTTATAGGTAGTACGATTTATTTAGTTGATTTCTTAATATAAGCTATCAATTCAATAATACGCTTTTAGTTGGAATAATATATATGAAGCTCTCAACACAGAGAGGCAGATTTTATGCCCTATTCAGAAAAAGGCTAGGTCAGAATTTCAAAATAATTCCTGTCTTAAAATTAATGACTAGCGCTTCAATGCAACAAATTGAGTATTGGGTTTGCTCTATTTCGATTTCAAGCTTTCGTATATATGTATGTAGATTCAGTTCTAAATAGCCACAAAGCTTAATAAAATCCAGAATAAGCTTAAGGAAGGCCTCTTGCATCATATATCATGCCAATATCTCTACTTATCGAGATTTGTATGATTCTAAAATTTCAATCGTTTCAAGAAAACTAAAAAGGTGAATAATTTAAATAAGATGCTTGGCTACAATAAATTTGAACTTTCATACAACAGATTTGCTGCAAATGAATATATCCCTCAAAGTTGTTCTTCTAGAATGGTAAAGCTCGAGGCTCAGTCTTATTATAAGAATTGTTTGAGTCCTACTTTCAGTAAATGCTAGTATTAAAATAAATAGTACAGTTTGCATTTTTATAAAAGTAATAAGATCCTTTCAGAACAACGTTAAAATCCAATAAAATTATTCAAGAACTTAATCAGATACTAATTGCAAGAATTTCCAAGGTGAAGATGCATGCAAAAATAACCCGTTTTGTCAACTCATTCCAGCGGTGAAATTATCGAATTAATGAGATAGAAATTTGCAAACATTTATGAAATATGGTCTTAAATAACTTATTTCGTATTAAAAGATTATCGAATATGCTGTATAGTAATTAAAACTTCTTCCTTAGCTAAAAGGGGAGGGTCTGAAGCAGCCTCCATCACCAAAATTTGCTTTATAATAACCAAGTATCACCATAAAAATATCGCAGAATCTCTATTAACCTACTAGAGCTGGAGTCCTGGAATCAACATTGGTTCTAATTAGACAAAATTATGAGACAATGCAAATTTAGTGTTTACTCTTGTCTTAAGTTGTTTAATGCTTCACCTAAAAGTTTTGAAGAAGCCTTTTTTGGGTTAGTATTTTTGGAGAGATTCATGACAAAATTATATTATATTATAAAACTTTGATATATTTGAAAGTGTAACCATCAATAAAGTGATGTCCACCCTCAGGAATTATTGCTAACAAGACACAGGAAATGTTCACCAATGAAAAAAAGCAGTTTATTATATAATATTTATGAATGAATTATTAGATAATATTGATAAAGCTTTAAGAAGCTTCAATGTCTCTCATGGTGACTTCTCCATTAAGTCGACGTAGAGCTGGAACTTCCTCATATTTTTCTTTCTTGTTGTAATTTGGAAGACTCCTTAATCTTATTGCTTGATGCAAAAGATTCTTAATTTCATCCCTCAAACTTATTCTCTGAGCTCTATCATTCTTCTTGGATTTAGAACAAGAAAGACCATTTAAAGGTACCTCAAGAGTACTGCTTTCACAGGATGGAGATTTGCATGCAGAATCAGGCTCTGAGCATGACTCATTATCATCCAGTTTCATGAAGCCATGGCTGGAATGGAATGCAGACCCAGTCATATTCTTTTCAATGTTAGGAGACATGTTTAATCTTGATACAGAGACATCCTCATCGAGAAGTTCTTCAGATAAGTTTTCTTCAAAGTGAATTAGTTTATTCATATTAATATATTATCACCATCAAGTTATATTCTTTTATATGGGGTTTTGGGGTTTTGGGGTTTTGGGG